TTACGTCATAAGTAACTTTTGCGTAGCATCTTTAATGTACTAATCAGTAGACAAGATTTTCATAATGTTTTTTTCAGACATTTGAATGAAAAACAATTTTCAAAACAAATTTTGCTCCTTAGAATCAATCTGATGTTTATCAGTGACTAATGGCCGTGACAAGTAGGGTCCTGTCGATCGGGATTGGTAGAAGTTAGAATTCATGGGCTGGACACTGAGTAGAGTCTGAGTGTTTGGATGGTCTATGCGTTAGACTTGTAACCGAAAGGTCCTGGGTTCGAACCCCGATGATTGGGTGCACATTGCTGATGAATCCCAAACTAGGACGAAAGAGTTGTCTAGTACTCCCTGATGGTTTTCAAAGGTTCTTTAATTGATATCAATCTGTGACCAAAATTGAAACAATTATTAATATTAATGATACTGATAAAAGAATGGTACTAATGTAACTAAGTTAGAAACAAAAATTGAACTAATAACCGCAAAAAAATCTAGAAAAGCTTCCCACTAATACAGAATATGATTGCAGCTTGGGCATTTTCTTTCACTAAACTGATTGTTAATTTCAGAGCTTCAGTTATGGCAACATGAGTTATCCTCTTCCTAAAAGTTTAACTCAAAAATTAAGCCTTATCAAGTAGCGAAGATATCTGATACCCATTGGAGCCTTGCATAACTGCATATCACTTTAGAAGAACTAGTAGCTAACATGAATTGACTGGCATTCAATAGCGATTTGTTTGAAACCCATCATTCACAGAGCAAATAAAAGAATCAGAATGTCTGTAAAAGGCTGGAGATGTTGAACAATACTTAATTCCCCTCAGTCTAAATGTATACTCGAAGAGAAGGTTGTGAGAAATCTACTAGTACTCAACCATAGGCATTGAGATCACGTTAGCTATCGGTGGTCGGAGAACCTGAACGCTTTTACGCAATATACAGATACGTATATGTAATTAAAGTCTTGTATTTCGTCTTTTGATGTAGAACGTCAAAATTTTTATTTCAATGAATAAGCTAATATCCGATCTGTATTCTGCAGTAATATAGTAGGTATCTTTTACATTGTCCATACTATGTAAGAAAAATAATATGCTATGCATTAAACTGTAGACAAAACGTATAATACGTTAATGACTTAACTTTAAGGTCCAAAATATGCCCTTTAATCCTATTTAAAAGTTATCTTTTATCAGCAGTTTATCATTATTCAAATTTCCCGGTGTTTTCATTGACAACTGAACTTCAATCTTAATCGATAAATGGTATATTATTCAAAAAGCCATCAGCTGCTAAACAAATGCCTAAATTTTATATGGTGGAAATAGGTACTGATGAGAGTAATTTCCAAAGTAGAAACTTAGGGGGAAAAATTGCCGTTTAGCCGGTTAAATAGCATTTGAAAATAAACGTTCTAGATAAAATGAAATATATGCTCAACTGGAATACTGCCATGATTCATGCAGCTTTAATGGTTAATTCACAAAAATAAAACTCGAAGATCTACAGGCGAAAACCAACAAGTTGGAGGAAAAAGCAGCCAGGAAAGACAGGACTTCAAGTGAACATAGAGGAGATGGAGGTGATGAAGATACCCACTAACCAACAACAACAACAACAATCACCAGTCACTACCAGCAGGAGAAATTTGAAGGGAGCAGCCACTTTCACCTGTCTAAGCAGATTCTTTCAAACTAAAGGCAGCCGGCATTGATGGAAATGCCAAGTCCAGGATCGAGAAGGCAGGACAAACTGAAGTCATTCTGGAAATATACTACAGTAAGCATAAACAACAAGGTTTGGATTACTAACATTAATATCAAGCCATTTCTTCATTATGGTTCAAAGACTTGGAGTGTCATTAAATTATCTTCCAACAGGCTACTGCACACTTTTATCAACAGCTGCTTTCGCTGACTCTATGCTGAAGATAAGATGACCAGTCGAAAAGGGTGAGCAACAAGGAACTCAGCAGTGCAAGGAATCAGTCGAGAGACTATTGTCGAAGGAAATGGAGATGGATTGGGTGCACGCTGAGGAGACCGTTAAGTGACATCATACTTCAAGCCGTCGGGTTCCACCCCAATGGGAAGCGACAATTTAGGCCTTGGTGTGTGTGTGTTGACATGAAGGAGATGGTGTCCGAATTAAATGAAACCTTATGGGCACTTATGAAGCTAACTAAAGATGACTGAAGACAACAGAAGGAATTCATGGACCTAGGTTTTATGCCTATTGACACTTCTGAGAGAGGCGATTCCGCGACCTCGAAAGAAAGCATTGAAACGTATATTCTTTTCAGCTGAACAAACTAGTCTTAATATTTTTTTATTCCCTTACGTTCCCAGTGAAACATAGGGCTTCATGCCAGAGCTTCGAAGTTTCAGTAGCAGTGATGTTTACTTTTACGGGGTGGGGTGCTAGCCTCACGTCCAACTTCCCCTGTTTACCGGTCTTATTACCAGCTTAGCGAGGTGAGGGAGTGCGTCATCTGGGGATCGAACCCCGAACCACATGAGGTGTGGTTGGCGAGCATCCTACCGGTGTGCCACCAACATATCACAATAGAAATTTTGTTTTTGCATTGATAACTATGACTACATTGTGAACAGGAGAATAGTTTCAATACAAATGGAAACATGTTTAGGAAACAGAGTCATTGAAGTAGTTCTACATATTTTAAACGTTAAACTGAAACCATTTAAAGTGATGACTAGATCAAATATAAATATTTTCAAGTCATAATGACGGAAATACATCACTTAGTCAAGCATTTTAATAATTTTTAATAACTAAAACTTTATCATCAACTACTTATCATGAATAATAATTGCGAAAATTTATTACAAATTCACATTTAAACAAAAATAATTTTTTGATTAAATTTTAAAGTATACCATAGAAATGTGACAATAATTCATCGGCAGTAAAGTAAACTTTATCACAAATAAACCGCCTAGATAACTATTGATAAAACAAGGAACACTGAAAGAGATAGTTGTTTAATTGTCTCTATAACCCTTTTCTACGTGATGCTGAAAATAAATATACTATCTGTTTATTGTAACACCAGAGAAACGGTGAACACAGATGGGAGCAAACTTCCTAAGACAAGTAGCAGTGACGATTATCATGATGAAAACGAAGTAAAGGTGGTTTACAATCAATAAGACCATTAAAGTAGTCTAGCCCAAACTTGCCTCTAACTCCAGGCATAAATTCATTTCTGTAACCGAGTCAGTTTTCTCACAATGATCAAAAACAGCATTCTCATGCACTTCTCTACTTGATATCCTTGTATTTATCGTTACAGATAACCCGAATTCCTCCCCATTTTGTAATACAGTACGCTGCCATCTGTAACCGCATATGCTGCTTCCCACTTCCGAAGCACTTTCCCTAAGCATGGTCCATTGCCACACACCCTTCTGTTGTGTATCCCGTCTCTATACGCTTCAATGTCGTTAAATGATAAATCGATCTTAATATGATTAAAATTATCGGAAAACCAGACAGCCTTATCAGCGGTTCCATTTTAAGCTAATAAACATAGAATATGAAGAAGCTCAAAATAATTTAGTCAGTGGTGACTAGCAATAGAATCCGAGAGGCTCATTTCCTCCTATTTAGGCATCTTCACTGGATGCGCCTACATTCCCCGATCACTGAGACTGTTCCCAATGAGGCTCCTGTTGATTTCTGTCCAACCAACCAACAGGAAAATCATAATTGAGTTAAAAATAAATAACAGAGGAGCTCAGAAAATTTAGGATCCAAGAAGAAGTGTTTGATAGATAACGACTTTACTAAATATGTGGAAGTTATACACAGCGCTGATTAATTAAAGGTTGAAATGCTGTTTGTTTGTTTACTAACTAATTTAAAAAGTGGTCAAAATCTTGTCAACATCTTTTATTTTCGCCTATTGTTAAATTGCATACATTCAGTACTTAGTAGAAAAACTTAGCATCTTTTCTATCCTCCGCCATTCTAACACTGATACTACTTAATAATTACTAATGACCAGCTACAGAATGAAGATGACTTGGGATCACATTAGTGAGAAGTAGTGACTACTGGGGTCTATGCAGTCAGGAGTGAGGACAAATACTCGCCACCGACAACATTCATGGCTAGTACCAGTCACGGTAAAATCACGAATAGGTAGAGGTTAGAATCCATGGAACATTCGGCTTCGTCCCATTGGCCGAAAAGTCTGTGAGCTCGCCTGAGAACTGGATGGTCATAGGTTCAGACCTCAGTGGGTAGGTACATGCTATCGATGAGTCCAAGACTGGGACGAAACATTCGTCCAGCACTTCCTGTTAGTTACCAATGCTTTTCTAACTGATATCAAACTGTGGTCAAACTTGAAACAAATCAAATTCTCACAAACTAACTCCTGAAGATCACTCAACAGATAACACAGTCTTGTTGTCTGAAATATGTGTATTCTTGATGGTGAAGAGATTCAGTCATGAAATCAATGATATTTTCAATAACCTTTTACAAATTCTAGCATAAATTTCCTATCAGATCCTCAGATCAGATCAACAAAAACACTCAAGTTCGAACCCAGTCAACGCACTTTAACATTGTTACAGTAAATTTAACTATGAATAAAGGAAAGAAATCTTTATTCATTAGATGACTTGTTATTCATTCTATACCTTAAAGCATAAAAATTTTTTATTCTTTTACGTTCTCAGTGAGACATCAGACTTGAAGATAGAGATTTGGAGTTTCGGTAGCAGTGGTGTTTATTTTTATGGAGTGTGGTTGCTAGCCTCATGATCAACCTTCCCTCATAACCAATCTTATTACTGGTTTAGCGAGATTTAGGAGTGCGTCGTTGGCCGGGGATCGAACCCTGGACCATATGTGGCGTGGTTGGCGAGCATTCTACCTCTGTGCCATCGAAGCACGAAGCATAAAACAAGCATAAAATTCGCAACAAAATTTACTGAAAATGATAAAAAAAAAGCATAAAAACTTACCTCTTCATTCGATGTAACAGACAACAAATGACCTTGGTATACATTAGCCGACTCAGAATGTCCTTCAGTAGTGGATGTATTGTTGCCTTCATTAGGCTTTGATATAGGACGCGTAATATCAGTATTATTCGCGAAACGATGACACGCTTCTTCAGCTTTATCTGCAGTTAAACCCCATACACTGCTGCCTTGTTCACGAGTTGTAGCTAACACTACTCGTCCTTTAACAGTATGTGGTTGTGCCGACCCACTTTTAGGTAATTCGTGTAAATCACTAACATTTTTATTTGTATGGGAAGTATTCGCATTGTTTAAATGACGCTCAGTTGTTGATGTCGTCGTTGTTGTTGTTGTTGCCAATGGTGACGGTGTTGTTGTAGTAGTAGTAAACAGAATTGACTGAACTGAATCAGTGGTGTCTGTGTTTGAATCTGCATTGGGAGGAACACTTGGTCTCTGTGTATCATTTGGGATTTCAGTTGTGATAGCAACAGTAGTCTGTAGTGTACTTGTTGTTGAACTAGTAGTTGTAGAATTCAATAAATTAGTAGGAGCACTTGATAAATAACTGAGAAAATATGACAGTAATAATAACGATAAAGCTATTCGGTTGATCATTCTGTCAAAAATATAAACAATTAGACTAGATAACCTTTGTAATGCTGACACTTATATGTCAATGTAGTCTAGTTTATCGGATAAACGAAACAGCAATTAAGCCAATAAAATATGCATTACAATGCACTTAGACAACTGTTCAGTGTAGATTTATCTAGAATCGAATTATTGCAATATATATAATCAATTAAGTGTAAAAATATGGAAATCAAATGAATGACTGTGTAGATTTATTGGGCATTGAATGGTTTGCTAAAAGAAAACAAGGCATATTTTTGTTATGCAATAAGAAGAGTATTTCAAATCGCCATATTTTTCTTTCATTCTTCTATCCTTCTGATAAAAACTGCTTCGTCTGGAACTAAGGGCTTCCCGATTGAAAATTCCTGCCTTCCTGTTGTGTGCATCAGGGGCACAGCGGTAGAAGGTTGCCGACCACCCCACATGCGGTCCAGGGTTCGCTCCCCGGCCTCCGATGCACTCCTAAATCTCGCTAAACCAGTAATAAGACTGGAGAAGTGGGAAGGTTGATTATGAGGCTAGCAACTCCATCCCGTATAAAATAAACACCACTGCTTCAGAAACTTCAAGTCTCTATCTTGAAGCTCTATGTTCCACTAAGAACGTAAAGGAATAAAAAAACCTTCCTGTTAGCCGACCTAATAGGAAACACCCGTAACCCTTAAGAAATTTATTGTAGGTTTGATAACGAAGTGGAATTAGTTAGAGAACCATTGAAAAACCTGCAGGGAGTAATGGACAATTTTTTGTCCCAGTTTGGATATCCCCATCAGTACGTACCTACTGGAGACCTAGTGACAGGTTGTAACCAGTGGGGTCCACTAATGTCAGACAAAAGACCAGTTATTTCCCTATGACATTCGCTGGCGGTTGCGCCGTATATACATATATATATACCGCGAATTGGCAAGAGTTATAATTCATGGGTTGGCCACTGGATAGTGAATGGTCTACGAGCTCATCTTGTAACAGGAAGGTTCTGGGTTTAAACTCCAAGGAGTTCATTTTTCTGAAGAGTCCCAGAATGGGATAAAACAACCATCAAGTACTCCTTGTTGGTTTTCCATCTGTTCTGTAACTGATGTCAACCCGTGATCAGACCTGTAACCAATCATATCTCCGCAAATTAACACATCATAAATTTACTATAGGCATAGCACACGTTATTCAATATTTTCAATGATCTGTAAATATGGCCTATTAATTTAAACAAGAATTATAATAATAATAACAATAATTTTTGCTTTATTCCAGAAACAGTACTAGTGGTACAGTGTGGAATTTTCAGCACATATCCACAATATTTGCATCTAATTTTATCCAACGTTTAAAAGGATTATTTCAAAAAATATATATAAAGACAACAACAACAAAACAAACACAAAAATAATTTTAAAAGAAATGCGAAAAAATACCAAGAAGTAGAAAGAAAAATAAACAACATGAAATAATATCTCACTGTTGGGTAGTGGAAGCTATGATATGATTATGCATGGTGACAGTAAAGCTATAGTCATACAAGAAGTTATGAAATGATATTTAAGAATGCTTATCGCCAAGGTGATCAGTTAATTTGGTTGAAACAACACTAAACAATCATAAAATAACATTTCAGGGATGTTGTTTTGTTTTTTATTGTCAGGTCTAATGCAGAGTTTATAGTGGTAGTGTGAGTTATCCTGCATAATACAAAATTTTGAGATGATGGTAATGGCGTTCACAACCAATGATTGCCAGTTAATATTGCTGAAAAAAACTTTTAAAAAAACACGAAAACTAATAATTACATGATGGTTAATGACAGGAAAATTTTGTAATACTCATAGTGCTAATATAGTCGGAACCAGTAGATACACAAAAGAAGGAATACAGTAAAGTACAAAAAGTAAGCCAGTATTAATAATTTAGGTAGCTCAGTATGTTTAAGAAGGTGTTCACTATAGAATACAAAATAAGAGAGAAATAAAAGAGCCTAAAATTATGATTATTAACAACAAAGCAAGTCATAGGTTTCACGCTTAACATTGTCTCTGTCACTTAGAACACGGGCCAAGTATGGTATCGTTGAGTTCCTGTACTTGGTTGTACGAGCATATATTATTTTGTATTGATTTCTGGTTCGTCCGGATGAGATACAAGGAGAGAGTATGGTTTTAGACCATTTTTCGCATGTATTCAGATGCCTTTCAACTAATGTAGTGACGACCTGACTGAGTTTTACACCACTGGTCCTACTAACTACCTTCAACATCCTTCTCAGGATGGTATAGTCCTTTTTCAGTAGCCCAGGAAAGACTAACGGGGAGCAGTAAAGTAGAATAGGTAAGATACAAGAGTTGATAAATTGTGGAAGTAGAGGTTGGGTGATTCCAGATTGTCTAAGTTTCTTAATGTAGTAGGTAAGACAGAACACTTTCTTAGAAATCGTTAGGATATGAGATGACCAAGTAAGGTCGGAAGACAAAACTAGACCGAGGTATTTTGCATTAGATTTAGTTTCAATTTTAGTCCCCTAAATGCTACAGCCTCCATGAGTACTTACTAGTGGTTGTAGATCTCGTTTATGCCTAAGGGAGAAGTTAGTAGTCTGGCATTTTGAGGGATTCAGCATGAGACCATTTAGTTTGGACCACTCACTGATGTCCGACAGGAAGCTATTTAATTTGAAACAGTCTGACTGAGAATTAATAGGAAATGATACAGTCAGGTCATCTGCATATTTGACGAAGTTGATTTCGTCCGAAAGAGGTAAATCATGTAAGAAGAATGAAAACAGAAACGGAGAGAGAACAGAACCCTGAGGAACTCCAGCTTCAGTAAGAAAAGGAGAGGAAGATACACCATTATATACCGTGTACTGCATCCTATTGGAGAAGTAAGAGTGCAGCCAGGACTCAGTTTGTGTAAGGCTAAGCTTGTTTAACAAAAGGCCTCTAGGTACAGAGTCGAAAGCAGATGTGTAATCGAGGAACGTACAACGGACATACTTGGCCCGTATTAGATGCAAATATGTAGATGTACGGAAAGGTAGCCCAGGTGTCAAACAGGCCGCCTGCTTGTCAAACAGCAGTTATTCCTTAACTTTAAATACAGAAACGTTTAAATCAGTCTTTTTTACCTGTTAACTAAGATTTTTAGCAAGTCATTCAGAAATAAAAGCTTTTAAGCAGAAATTAGTTCTTCCTACCAGAATCTCGGAACACTTCCTGTTTTGACGCAAACCATTTCGATCAATGTAGCTTCACAACTTAATCGATCCATTTTCCCTCCTTACCTAACACTGGACGCCTAACCTGAAAAAGTGCTCACTCTATTATATCATCTAACCTGAGAGACAGAGCACAGACACCTATGCTCAAAGACAGCTAGCCTGGCTTTTCATGTCTTTCACTTTCAATAGCAATATCTCACAGCCATAAAGGAGAATGAAACGAACTGCTGGCGTGTAGTACACATGTCCTTTGATCAATAAGAAGGCTGGACACTCAGATTAAATGGTGAACAAGCATCATTACAGCCACAGGGTTGAGTTCCAGTCGCTAATGATACCTGCTCAATATAAATATTTGAAAAAAGCATTAAGAATTGTATTATTTCATTTCTTGGGGAAGAGACGATATCAGTTCATGCAGCACTGTTATAAGAAAAAGCTATTCTGCTTCCTACCATATATACATACAAGCGAATATTTGCATTAGACCACAGCATAAAAATGAATACATAGCAAACAGAAATCAGTAATTCATCCTCCCGTTTTTTTAAATTCGCAAAATATTATGCTACTTCATGAATACATAGAAAATAGAATAAACGGAGGTGACGAAAATAACCAACCACAACAACAAGCACCAATCACTGTCAACGAGAAAAAATGAAAGAGGTCACTTCCTTCACTTATCTAAGCAGCGTCTTTTCAACTACAGGTGACACTACGGTTAAGGATGTCAAAACCAGAGATGGTCGGAAAGGAAAGACAGAACTTCATCACTCTGTAATCATTTTCGAAATCTTCGACATTCCGCCGAAACATAAACGACAAAATTTGGATTTTCAACACCGATGTTAAGTTAGTCAGCTCTTCTACGTGGGTCAGAAACCTGGTGCGTGTGTCACGAAATGACTTACATTAACACCTGCCTTCACTGGTTCCATACTGTAGAAAGGATCAGCAGCAGGCAACTCTGAGAACGAACTAATTAAAAACATATTTGCGCAACAAATATGTGGAAGAAAATGGAGAAAGACTGGATGCATGCTGAGGAAACCATTGGGCGACATCACGTGCGAGGCCATCTCTCAATCAATAAACGAATGGGAAACAACGACTAGGACGTGAGTTCGAGCTTGACATGGAAGAGACCTTTGTGAGGAGATGGCGAAAGTTTATGAGCAATCGTGGGGCCAGCTAGAATGGACTGAATAGAACACAATGAAATAGGAATTTTCTCTTGCAGTCCTATTTTGCACTTGGAAACTAATGGAACAGTAATAAGACTGTTGCTACGCTTTAGTCCCTTTATTATGGCCTTTCGTATCTCACTCTTGGTTTACAATCGGTTAGTCGTTTCCAACGCGCCTAACAATACCAACAACGGAGACAGAGCTACCAGTGAACACCAAACCCCCAACGAAATCAGAAGTCCTGAAGGCAATCGAGATGCTAAAAGCTGGAAAAGCAGCAGGACCAGATGGAATCCCAGCTGAAGCATTGAAAACGGACCCAGAGACAACAGCGGACTTGATGACGCCACTACTGGAGAAGGTGTGGAAAGAGCGCAAAGTACCTGAGGATTGGAAGAAAGGATACTTATTCAAACTACCAAAGAAAAGAGACTTAAGTCAATGCAAGAGCTGGCGCGGAATTATGTTCCTGTCCATCCCAAACAAAATACTAAGCCGCATCATCCTGGAGAGAATCAAACACGCCAACCTGGATGAAAAACTTCGACCGGAACAGGCTGGATTCAGGAGAAACAAGTCATGC